ATCAAAACGTCCAAGAAAAGAAACATCAATTTACAAGTAAGACTGTGAATGAAGATGTGTGTGAGTTGGTGTCAGGGCGGCAGCTGGCGCTAGACTTTTTTTTGTTATCCGTTATCTTGACCGACAACAAAAAAAAATCGGTCATGTTCTATTTTTATCCGTGAAATTACAATCATATCAACATCGGCTATTTAGTCGCATTTTATGCGGTTTAGTTAATATTCACCGTGAATCCAGATCCCATCACAAATTAAGCAGATAAATGCATCTACATTTTTCTCTTAGTGATAAAAACCACTGACTGAGGCCCCAATAACTTTTAATAAATTAAATTAAGCGACTTCACTTAAATTAGCATCACTTCACCCCATCTGCAGAAAAATCTGCGCTAATTCATCAGTCAGTTGGATCTGTCTGATCCAAACAGATCAACTGAACTCTGTGAGTGTTTTACCCTGTGCGGTCCGGATTATTTATTTATTTATTTTTGCGTGGTTTCACTTCTCCGAAACGGACAGATGTTACGTCTGCAGCTCCTCCAGCGCCGCTCTCCTGGGTAACGTGAACCCAGAAGGCTCCATTTGTTAAATCCGCTGGATGAGTTACTTCCAGCGGTTTCTTTCTAATTCCGCAGTGGTTGAGCAGCGGACTGCGCATGTTACAGTCTAACTTTTGCATCGTCATTTAGTTCCTCAAGATAAACTGCCGGCTCCTCAAATGGATTAACACAACGTTGTAATCTCTTTAGTTTTCTCTGGTCTGTAATGGAGACTTGAATTTAACGCGCCATTTCAACCAAAGGTTTTGAATGCGCTTCCTAACCAGACGCTCCAAAGCGTCCGGTCCATAACTCTTCAACTCGCTGTCAGCTCCGGTCAGAAAGACGCATTTAGTTCAGAGACCATGAGATGATATTCAGAAAGGATTTTTTTAATTAATTGATTTCAGTTGCCTCTGAGACTAAATCTCTGTGTAAAGTCTATCATGTCTGCCCATGTGACTTGTTTTTATTATTTGCTTGGTTACCTTTAATCACTGATTTAAATATTGTAATTTTTAAACTGAGCAGTAATTTTACATCCATGGAAACTCAAATGTAATATTTAAAACTTCAATACATAAAATCAGTTATTTAACAATATGAGGTGTTTAATTTATTTTTAACATTGTATTTTTATACATTTATGCTAGGGGTGCCCAAGTCTAGTTTTCTACCATCTGCAACTTTAGATGGTTCCTTCTCTAACACACCTGGACCATTGACTCTACAACCCTGAATGAACTGAATGAGGGAAGTCAACCTTTTGTCTGGGGTGTTTTAGCAGGGATGCACTCCTGATCTGTACCGTCAATGTGGCCCGTTGAGGGGGGCCAATATGCTGAAGTGGCCCTCGGTGAAATTGAGTTTGACACCCCTGATCTACAGGATCATCGGCTGTTCTCCCTTCAATAAATCTGTAGCATTTTTTTAGACCAAATGTTTGCAACTCTTCTCTGTAGGCAGATTTTAGAGCTAATCACTGTTTCTGTTTCTCAGTTAGGACCAAATAATCTAAAACCAAAGGTCGTTCTTCTGAAACACAATGACATGACCTCTGTGTTGGCGATGAAGCAGAAGGCCTGGATGGTGTTCTTCATTGGAACAGCAGACGGTTTGCTTATGAAGGTGTGTAGAAAATTACTGAATACTGCAGTACTGTTGGAGACGGGAGGATTTGTTTCAGTGTAAAGGAGTTTATGCCTTTAAAATGAGTATGTTGGAATTCTCTTTTCCCATCTACTGAAAAAGAAAGTTTAACTCTACACACAGCAGCCTGACTAAAAAGGCTTTGGAGTTTGGACACATTGTGATGAAAGGTGAGAGTCTTAAATGCAAGATGCTTGACATGGTTGACATGACAGGATGTCAACCACCCATACTCCTCCATTCTTCTAATAAAGAAGAATGCAATACATTACATCTAAAAAAAATACCATGATAAGTATAAAAACATTTTTATTAAAAGATGTTTTTGTTTTCAGCTCTGGTAGCAGGGGAGTGGGGGAGTGGTGTGAAGAAATTATTTCTTTAGTTTCTGAAAAAGAAATTATTATTATTTATAAGACATCTGAGCCCCGTTTCAGAAAGCAGAATAAATGAAAATCCTGCGTAAGTTCTGGCCCAACTATGCATATCCTGGGTTTTCAGTTTCAGAAAGCCAGATAACCATTGGATCAACTTACCCTGTGAACCTATGCTGCTCATTAACAGGACTGTTTGAACAAACCCTGAGTTTGTTCTATCGTTTTGTGAGAGCTGGAACAGAAAAGTGTCAGAAATGGCGTGTCCTTTAGTGGAGCAGCCTGTAGATGTTGGAGAGAGTGCTGCACTTCATGTTAATCCCAACAGGATCCTGACTGGAATGATACTGTAAAACTGTTAAAAACAAAGTTACTGTAAAATGTTACTGTTATTGTACAGTAGAGGTGCCTATAAGGCATAAAAATAATCAGGTCCTTCTTAGCAGAATGACAATGTGTCGCTACACACGTAGCTTAGACAAATTTTATATTATAACTGAGTTTTTTTGATGAGAGCTCTCGTACTGTTAGACTTGGATCATTGTGACTTAAGTTTATAAGTAGCTTGCTATCTGAAAACCACAGGCAGCACCGTTTAATGGGGTTCCCTAAAGTTACAGAGCCACAAGACTAATAAAGCAATAATGTAGTTGCTGTAACATTTTGGCAATTCAAACATAATCTACTCATGTTTTGGTTTCTGTAGTACAGTAGACGTTTATCTTGTTCAGACAAATAAAATTATCCTCTCTTTTTGAATATTAAATAAGTATAGTGTCAACAATACTCACTCTGCTAAATCACACTTATGCATTGATTTTGTCTTTGTCATGCTAACTCTCGCTATTTTAAAGAAACAGTACTGCTTGTTTTTGTGAAATATGTTTTGATATTCTCCTTTGCCGTCATTAAAATTCTAATTCCATTGGTGAGAAAAGCACGCTTTCAAGCTTCTTATTTTCTTCTGTTGCCATGGTGAATCACCTTATCTGCGCTCTGTTGATGAGTTTCTTCTATCCATGTGCCCACGGCTTAACTCAGGGGTAACTTGACTCAGAATTGAGTTACCTAGTTAATGTTTCCTGTTCTGAAACCAGAAAGCCTGAGCATCACAGAGCTGGGTCGGTTTATTCAGAGCAGCTTGTTAACCCTGCTTTCTGAAACCGAAGTTTCATTATAATTTTTGATATTAGAATTGTAATATTTAATTGCGCTATGTTTAAAATATTTGCAGCTCACATTTTTATACAGTTCAGGTAAGGAAACACAAAACATAGCAAAGCACAGAAACTCAAGATTTTAGAATTTTAACCATATTTCCAGAGACTGGTGCTGCACAACATGAACCATCTCAGTAAATACTGATGCTTTGCTAATGTAGCAGCATATTTGAAATAACTGTTGCTAGCTAGTATTGCTAATAATAGTTTGAAATGTACAAGTTTCATGACTCAGTGACAGTTTTCCATTTAAGTCTTAAAGTCTGAGTTTGATGTCATTTCTAGATCAGTTTAGAGGGAAAGAAGCCGCCAGTAGCCGTTAGTGTCTGCTTTAGTTTCTGAACACTTCTCCTTTTTCTGTAGCTTCTGTTCAAAGCAAGCGTCAATGTGCTAGAACATCTTGCCTTTATATAGCTTTGTAAACCACTGACGACTATTGAGTACCACCAGTTTATCACAATGTTTAATGATAGCTAATGAAAGTATTGTTTTACAGGTTTTAAAAAAAACATGCCGCCTCATAAAATAAGTGTCCAAATAATTTTTGCAACTTTTACATGAGAAATGCACACAGTATTATGTGCACCATGTGAGTCTGTCCAGGTTGAATTTGCTACATTAATATAAATGGAGAAAAAGGTGATACCAAGTATCGATCCATGTGGGACACCGTTGGTAACTTATTGGTCACCAGTTGTGTCCAGTGAAACTATTTTTGCTGAAATATAACTTTGACATGTTCAGTTCCTACTTTTCCCATAAATACTGTAACTATGGTCTATATTGTCATCAGCTTGCTGTAGACAGGAACTTTAAGCCCACCTGTCCAGAGATTCTCTACAGAGAGAGTGAAAAACGCAAAGTGTTTCCCAAAATCCATCTGGATCAAGTGGATCGGAACCATGTGTATTTGCAGCTTAAAAATAAGGTTGGTGTTTTTTGTTTTTTTTTTCTTATTTATTTTTCATGAAGCGTACCCATACATTTTCGGATGTTGAGTGTGTTTTTGTTCCAGATTGAGCGGGTTGCAGTGTCGAGGTGTAGCACTCACAGAGATGTGAGGGCTTGTCTGTCTGCACAGGATCCCCTCTGTGTGTGGTGCGTCTCTGAAGACAGGTCAGGAACTTCTCTTACCGCTGAATCCTTCAGACATTCCTGAACTTTCTAAAACCTCATTTGAACTTTTTCAGCTGTACATTTGAGGACCACTGCACAGACTCAGAGTGGTTTTCCATCCCTGATGAACCTCAACAGGAAATGATTTCCCACCGAGTTGTGAAGGATTCCAGTGGAATGGTTTGTTTCGAACACTGACTGAATTTAGTTGCATTTGATTTTTCTTTTAGATTATGTTATTCTTCTGTATTCCTGTTTTTCTCAGGTCAAAGTAATCATCCAGACACACCTGACTGTGCCGCAGAAGGTTCAGTCTAACTTCACCTGTGAATTCTCTTCAAATTCTAGTCAGATTTGTAGGCAGCAGGGGTTTTCAGCACAGTTCCCTCAGTGCACATGCATCCTTATCAACACTCTTCTGACTGATGGTAATCAGCTTTTGTTAAATGATCAAAGTAATGTAATAACCTGATCGTTTAGAATATGTAAAGGTCAGTTCTTTCTAGAACTGACAGAAACAAAGTGATAATCTGTAAAATAACATTTACTGCTTCTGTCTTTTAAATGTAATATGGCAGAAAAGTTGAACAGGTTTGATATTAAAAAGTCATCCTCTGTTTTTCAGTTGTGTGGAAACACATTTTATCAATTTGAAAGCTTCAGATTTATGTTTTTTCTTGTCTCAGTGAAATCAGTTAAAATGATCATATCTATTAATGTTCTCTGCGACTTTAAAGCTTCCTTTGTCTCAAGAAAACAGATTCAAAATTGCTGCTATTTTCAACACATTATTCCAATTATGTTGTCCAAGTTTACATATTCTTAGCTAAAAAATAAATAAATAAAAAACACAAATTATTGCTTTCGTAAAGGAAGTTTTATAAAACTCTTAATTCACAGTCCTGGATGTCACCATAAACATCAACGTTGGGAAATCTGAGCTGACAGAGCAAAGAAAACTAATCAACTGTTCAAGTGTTCATGGACAACCAAGTTCCCATCTGTAAGTTCATTTATACACTCAAAAAACTAAACTTGTGGGTGGAGGCTGTTTTTCTGTTGTTGTTTTTCTAATAATGACAAGAAGGCTGTTGGTGCAAGTCTCATCTCAAATGAAATCTTTGCTTCTCTTCCCCTTGCATTAGCATTAAAGTTTTCCACTGTCCTTCAGCGTGGATGTTGGGTTTATTGCCGACTTTAAATTCTGTTTCTGTTTGGTTGGAGGCTGTTAGGATATCAGTGGGCTGTCCATGTATTGAATGATGCACCTGTAGCTCATCCAGTGCTTCTTCAGGGAGAATGCCTCTGCTCTTGCATTTAACATAATCTATTTCCACACGTTTGTGGTGTTAATGTTTTCCAAAAGCTGAGCTGAAAGCCAGTCTGATTTGTTTTTCTCTTCAGGTGCCGACAGTGTATCAGATCTGGGTGCCAGTGGATGGAGAACAGCTGTTCCTGGGCCAGTGAACTTACTCACAATGTAATAATCAACCTGCATTTGTTAAATATAGACTTGTTAATGTTAATGTTTACTGTCATGACCATCATAGTAAGTCTTATAAGTCAGTAGTAACCTGACCAGAACAATATTGTTTATTTATTTCAACATCTTCTGTGCAGACTCAGAAGGACGTTTGCCTGGAGATGGAAGCTGAGATGAACATTTCTGTGAGTCTGAATCTATATTAATGCACATTTTTCTTAACACTCATCCTAAACCAGGTCTCTCAAACTCTTTCCTTCTGAATAGCTGTAAGTTTTAGATGCATTCCTGGTCACACACACCTGAAACAAAATGGCTGAATGAGCTCCTCAGCATGCAGTCATGTTCTACAGAGCCCTGCTAACAGTCGAATCATTTGATTCATCTAAAAGCTGTAGAATGGGTTTTTGACAAATCTGTATTAAACTAATTAAATATATCATCAAATAAGCATAATGGATGACTGCTAAATATCTTTTGTTTCCCTGTCAGACACCAGATGTCGTCTCCATTACACCGAGCGTTGTGTCTCTGTATGGGAAAAACCACGCTTTGTTGTCAGGTCAGAACCTGAGCGACGTGATCGGAGTGAGAATCTCAACGCACATGGACTGTAGTCCTCAGGAGTGAGTCACTCAGAAAACTAAGGCCAGTCGGAATGTGCCTTATGTAAACTAATGGAGGAAATAATTTGCGAGATGAACATTTGTTATATTATATGCAAACAGGCGTGTATACATGGTACACTTTTTACAAGCTCAAGAGCCCAAAGAGTTTTAAACCAAATATAATTCTCAGGCACATAAAACAATTCATCTGCTTCTCAAGGACAACAGAAACTTGAGAACCAAGTGGCCTGAAAGCTGCGAGACAGAAGCTTAAGTGTCAAGAATGAAAACCTAACATTAAACAGAGGAAGAGTCAACAGGAAGTCTTGACACTCAGCAAGGATGAACATTTTGAAGGACTTCAATCAGCAAGTGTCATGCATGCATGTGACCCTGTAGAATCCATCTACCCCACCCACAAAAACACCTATAACCACAGATGCACTCTGACCCACTTCATTGGCAACAACGTTTGATTTGCTGCCAACCTCCTTTGCACAAATAAAAACATTTTGCTGAAAACGTTGACAGCAGTTATAATTTTTATTGATTTTGATCAATCAAAACTAATAATTTCCCCAAATTATTTGCTATGCTTGGTTTTCCAGACTTCTTTTTCTTAAACACCCTAAAATCTACATCATCATCATCTGTGCCGCCACCATTTATAGTCAATTAGGTTATCTGTCGACACATTTTGTTTCTCAAGTTTAGTAAATATTCAAATGTCTAACATGAAAAAGGAAAAAAAACTTACAATTAACAAATGGACAGAAAGATATTTGTTACATAAATGTAAAGAAATGACTAAACAGCCAAAGTGGTTGTTAGCTAAAAATGCAACTTGCTTTAGTTTTTGTTTCAGAAACTCTCCAGTCGGTTCATTCACATTCACCACAATAATTGCACCCATTTCCTGATGCATAAAACCTAAACGAATTGAAGGCTACAGCTGCTGTTTTAAATTTCTTTAAAAATGTGGACAAATAGAAAGTTTCTCCGTCAACCTTTCAATTTTCTTAGATCTTTTTGTTTCAATTTAACTCTTACTATTTTGCTTTCTGTGTGTTTTCCTGATTTTTCTGGACAGATCTCCTGTGTGGAACAACACTGGTGTCAGTTTGACCTTTCACATCCCCACCACTGAAACTAGGAGATTGGTCAAAGTGTGTGTTCTTCTGCCTGATGGTAGTTGCCACGGAAACGCTACAGTCACCTATCAGCCGTTACCAGTCTGCACTGACATAGTACCTCGGAGCAGCTGGAGGAGGTATTTGAACATTCCTGTAAAAGTTTCCATCAGCTACAGATGGAAACCCTTAATTGTCCAATTAAGGGCACTGTGGAAAGTGCTTTGAGTAGTCACTGTTACTAGAGAATGCTACAGAGTCGATCCATTTATGACCACAAGGTATCCAACATCTGTTTGTACCTCTCACAGGACAATGCACCACATCACAAAGCTCAGATCATCTCCAACTGGTTTAACAAACAAGACCATGAGTTCACTGTACTCCAGTGGATTCCCTGGACTTTGGACTTTTTTCAATAAAAGCACTTTTGGGATGTGGAATGATTTATCTTGGATGTGTAATTGACATTTCTACAGTAACTGAGTTAAGCTGTCGTGTCGAGATGAACCAGAGTCTCTAAGGTTTCCAACACCTTAAGTTTATGCTACAAAGACTCAAGGCAGCTGTGAAGGCAAATTGGGTCCAAACAGATACTAGAACGATGTAACTGTTAGTGGTCAGAGATTGTACATAGTATTATAATTAATATAGTATGTTATTTCACAGCTTGTAGTTAACTTTTGGCGACATCTTGCTAATTGACGTGTTTAACTTCTTCAGTTTTTTCAACACCTCCTACTTGTGACTTGCGTCAGTCACAAGTAGGTGTGAAGGAGTCACTTCCTCAAAGAAAGTTTTGACTACAAGACTCGTACCTATAGCTGCAGAAACTTCAACAATTACATGTCCTTAGATCAGAAGATATTTGGAAAGCACTTTCAAGACACATGAAGGTTTTTTGCTACAGTTATATTCTCTGCTAGGTTAATTTTTACCATTAAGCAACTAAAAAAAGAATGGATCATTCCAATTTTCAAAAATTAGAGTTACAGTTTTTTTTTTAATAAAGCTAGTCAATTCTAGTACAGTAATTTGTTGTTCTAAAGCCACAACTTGCCCATGAAAGACTCCTATAAATGTAAGTGAATCAGCTCTGTTTAGTGACTTATCTGATATCTGCCTGCTTATGTTCCCAATAATGAATGTCACTCTGAAATAATTGTACTTACATGTTTGGAAGGGAACTTTAATCTTCTCGTGCAATTTTTTTAAATATTTTTTTTTCAACACAGCAGTAGAATACGGTTTGTGATGCTTAATATTTCATTCATGTTTAATTTACCTTTTGAACAGTTTGAAGCACATCTATTTTAATTCAGGTGGCTGTTTGTAAGCACATGACATGTCCTATGAGCACCTGAATGCAGCGGCACTTAGCATTTTATGTGGAAGTGTTAGTAGAGTGATGAGTAAAGAACACCTTCTCTGTATATCAAATGTCCTCTAATCTGACTGCTGCTTCATGCCCTGCAGTGGGAAGAGGAAGGTCAAACTCATTGGGACCCATCTGGAGTTTGTGGATGGGCTGATGCAGAGCCACGCCCAGCAGCAAGTGTTGCTTCCCAGGAACAGCAGCAGTGAGGTAGTTCTGCAGACGGATCCAATCTGTTTGTTGTGAATATGTTTTTAAAAGCACCGTTTTGAATCCAAGACCAAATTGCATAAGATATAAAACAATTGCTAAAATAAAACACAGGAGAGAATAAACAGCTTTCACAAATGACACATGAGGTGAATGTTGCTACTACTAAAGTGGAGGTGAACCATGATTAAAACTCATGGTTCACCTGATCCAGAGTTCACCAGCTTCACTACAGAGGGAGATTGTTGCATATGGTCAGAGGTGAATGGGTCAAAAGGTTTTGGGGCTATAGTATTGAGTATCCTGTGCATAACAGTAAAATTATTATTGTCTTTCTGGAATAAGAAATGCATATTCACATGTCTGTATATGTGGAACGGTTAAATAATGAATGTAAGGGGTCTTAACATTGAGCCTTGATGTACAGCAGCAGAGATGGTAAATTTACTTCAAGGATATGAAGATGAACTGTTTGTGGCTGAAAAGATACAAATATACATGATATGTTATCTGACTATTATAAATGTTTTGTCATAAAATCTCTTTGACCAAACATTTTTAAAATAATTTGCAGAATCTCACCTACGATACGCCTACAGCAGAAAACGGTCAGATTTGCTGCAGCACCGTTTTTCTGAAAGTAGCCAATCAAACTGTGGCCTGTTTGGTCAAACTAACATACCTTCCTGATCCAGAGTTTACCAGCTTCACTACAGAGAGGCTGGGAAATGATGTCCATGTTGTTATTCATGTAAGTATTTTTTTTAAATTACCCAACAAGTGACATGAGTTTCTAAAAGGTTACAGTTTGCTTCTGTTTCATTTCAGAAAAGTTCAGATAAACTGGAGATGACAGCAGCAGAGTTGCTGGTGTGGGGCGTTGAGGGTGAAAAGCAACATCCCTGTGTCAAAATAAAAGAAAATCATAACAAAACAGATTCCTTTATCTGTGACATCCAAGGAGTTAACAATACTAACTTTAGGGCTATAAAGGTGAGTTATTTTTAGTATTTGGTTGTAATTTAACAGTTTAGTTGCACTGTTGGTCTGGTTTTGTGTTTATGCTTCAGTTAATTTTTGGGCATTATGATTTTCTTTTGCTTACTTTGCTGGACTGACTGGCAGCTACAGAAACTTAAACAGAGGAGCAAATACTGAAAGATGGGGAGGATACAAGCAACTCCCAAACATCCCCTCTGGAAAATCCCAACTGATTTGATAAATACCTAAAAGATCTATAACAGCTAGATGTTTATGTGCACACAGCCAAGGCCTCATAACAGTTCTGCTAATATAACCACCAAGGAAGCAATAGCTGCCATTTTAAATTCCAATACAACCTTTGCTCATACATGAACTTGTAAAGTTGGAAATTTTGAAATTAATCCCTGTAGATTTTTTTTTTTTTGCAAATTTTGACTAACATTTTAAAATACTGCTTACAGCAAAGGTTGAAGCAAGAAAGTTAATCAATGAATTCAAAACATGCTAGATGTTGACTTTTATCACATAATGAAACATCTTTAAGCTGTAACTCAGAACCTTTTTTTGTTCTTTTCTTGTCAGAATGTTCTTACTGTGTTGAACCAAACAACTTTGTTTGAGTAAACTACACAAAAGTTCCATGCATTATCATCTTTTCATAGTTTCTATCAGAAATTTACCTCAGTATAATTATCATAAATATTCTCCAATAACCGAAAATGTATTTAAATTTGATTCCAGATTAAATATGGTGACACAACTGTGTTTATTCAGACTCTATCTTCATTGCATCTGGGCCTTCTGATTCTACATTTCCTTCTCAAATGTTCTATTCTTACTGGTAAGTTTACTAAATATGCTTAATAGTATTTTTGAAATGCTTTAGTTTTTTCCCCAGTGTATTAATATTATTAATTAATATTTATTTTGGTCAGAATGTGGGGTATAGACTGTGATGCTTTTGTGTTCCATGTTATTGATGAAGGTTTATGGTTTCTTTCAGTGCTGGTTGTTTTCTGTCAGTGGGAAAAGAGACAAACAAGTTCTGATTACTGATCATTTCTCATCCAGAGGATCAGTGGGAACAAGTACAGTCGTAGGATTCTGAATGTGTACATCATGATCTATGCTTTGTCCTTACAGTTTTAGACTTTACAGTATATTCTAACATGCTTCTTTCTCATCCAAATGGATCTTTCCTGAATCATAAGTGAACTAAATGGCTGAAAAGGGCACCTAGAAACTGTTGAATTTCCTTAAGACTGAAAG